TTGTAGAGTTTGAGTCCAGGTTTACTCCAATTATAATAAACTAATAAAGTGTAATTAGCATGACATGCTTAAAGTCAAGGGCAGATTTGGGATGATGGTGCTTCACCTCTGGGGGGGGAGGGGTGGGGGGGTTTCGGGCATAGCCCTGGGCAGATGAGGGTCACATGGTCATAGGACTGTGTGGCCTTTACAAAGTCAGACCACTGGCCTATAACGCATCCCAAGTGATATTTTAACCTCTCACAAAAAAACAAAAAAAATTGCAAAAGATAATAAAAACGATTTTTTCATATTTCAGAGTAGTACAGTCAGGTCATATAAAATTCAGTTTGTGCAGCACAACCTAAACCAAAACTGTTTCAAACTGAAAAATTAGGAGCCCTAATTTTTAGGTTAAATATAGTTTGATATTGCTGCACATTAAATCACTGATGAAATAAAAACAACTGGGGTCCTGATGTTAATTTCCTTTGAAAAAGTGTATTTTTACTTCTGAGATGAATACAATTAATCTAAAATATAGAAACTAAAGTAAAGAATTAAATAAAGTACACGGTTGTTCTTATGAAGCCATTTTAGCTCTTAAACGGAATTTTAAGAACAAAAGCCGTGTTTTTTTTAACGACTCAAATCACAATCTTATTCGTTTATTTTGTTTTTTATTTTTATCTGAAAGAAGTCTGCACAAATAGTCATCCGTCATTATGAAAGACCACTGATAAAATACTCAAATAAAAACGAAAAAAAGGGGGGAAATCCCAATTTCTCTCTTCGGATATTTAATCAAATAAGGAGGCATTATATCAAAAAGCACAAACATCTAAAGCCCAAATAGAGCAGCAAGCTTTACTTAGTAACTTTAACTTTTGTCAATCTTCTGGACGTGAAAAATCATTGTATGAATCCAACGTCATCAGTTCAATAGTCTTACAGTGACTTAGGTTCTCCCTTCCATCATCATCATCCTCATCATCATCCCTAAACTAACACACATGTTGAAAAGACTCACTGCACACGGAGGCCGGAGCACCATTCCTCCCCGGAGCGGCGCTCTGAAGTTTCCCCGCTCTGGAGCTCCCAGAACCGGACAGTCTCGCCGCCGCTCCCCGGGACGAGCCGCCGGAATCCTGGAGCACCCACCCACCCCCCTCCCTGTGTGTCAGGGCTTAGGAGTCGGACAAAGAGTGGCGGTAGCATTGAAGAAACAAACGTTTCTCTATTTTCTTACTTTTTTTTCATATGCACTAAACTGGTTTTTGCTCCCCACCTTTTTTTTTTTATATTTAAAGGGCAGGGGGAGCGCTTGTTTTGATCACATGATTACAATTCACCTGAGATAAAAAAAAAAAAAGAAAGAAAGGAGGGGAATGAAAGAGCCAAAGAGTCGGACAGAGACATCCACTCATGGTTAGGATTCCCTTATCGCAGACAACATACAAGGCTAATGAAAAAAAGTGGTGAGTTTTGGATTGGGGGCCAGTGTGTCGCATGGCGGGGATACAAGGGGTCATTGTTGCGAGGAACAGCGCGCGTGCTTGTGCGGTCCAGAATGTCCCCCTCTCTGCTCGCCCCGAACCGAGAGGTGCTGATGCAATTAGAAAAGTCACACGTGGATATAAAGGGACGCGCTGTGCAGGGCTACACAAACTGAGCAGTTAAATAGACGACAACCGCTGAGTAAAAGTGGATTACCCGGACACTGTGATCTATGTTTCGGGCACATCATTTAGCAAATATCACAATTTCCATATTTCCATAACTAATTTTACATTCATTTTAGTTGATATTTCTTTTTTTTTTAAAACTGTTTAGAGCTTTTCTCTCTCTTATAACCAGGACTTGGGGTAATACTTTCTTTGAATTTATTATAATGTAATGTAGTCTAATCTAATTATCTTTTCTTTTTGTTTCTTTTTCATTGTAGTGTACGCGATGTAGTGTTAACTTAACTGAGAGTTTTGATTTTAAAGGACAAAGGATTGCTGGCATAAGAGACACCATTTCCTTTAGCTATACAAAGACACCATGCCTAGAGCAGAACTGGGCCTTGTGGCCCTTTGAGATGACTACTTGAGATGATACGTTAGATGGATCAACGGCATAATTTAAAAAAAGTTGTTCCGTGCCAAAAATCGGTTTCTAAATGTTTCCAAGGTAAATACATTTCTGCATCACAAGAAATAATAACAGGTGAAGTTATATTTTCGCAAACTGGGAGGAGGAAGTTAGTTGTTAGGCATCCACTTGCACACTGAAGAACTAACTTCTATTGGCTCGCGAGACAAATTTTCCATTTGGCTATGATTTGAAATGGGAAAAAAGAAATATATGTATTTTAATAAACAGGCTATACCGTAATTTCTTTGGAACTTATAAAACCTAATTCATGTTTACAGTGACGCGAGCATAATCCGACGTTTTCTATATAGAAAATATTTAAAAAGATTAGATTTGGGCTAGGTGGCTAAGCTAGACGCAATAAAAAATAATGTGCGCACTTTTCTAATTTCCGTGCTAAGAATTAGGCCAAAGTAATTAAACTTCAGTCAGACAGACGGATAGATAGATAGATAGATAGATAGATAGATAGATAGATAGATAGAT